TAAGGTGGCTAATGACATTACATATCAAGGGCACGGCCATTAATTGTAGGAAAACTTGATTTAAGAGCGCTGTGCCATGGCAACATCCCAATAAATAAACTCTTACTTAACCCTTTACAACAACACAGCAAGAGTGTAATGCACTATCCATCAGATATCTTAATATCAAAGCTGTCATTAGATGTCAAGTATTTATTCCTGGTCCCTCAGTCTTATCTTCATGTCATTATTAGAACATTGTGCCGAGTTCCTTCCAACACTTATACCTGACATTTGAAGATAATCCTAAGGAGGGACTGCTTAGCAGGTGTCCGTAAGTAAGGTACGCTTGTGAGTTAGTTAGTATAAGGAATGCTAAGCTCTTCCCATGGGTCAGCTCACCAGTTATCTCAGCTGGGTGGGATAACTGGAATCCAAGCACTTTAGTCCGGTCACATACACTCACCTCTGATCGTGTCCCATGGCAATGTCATAAAGCGCTTGCCTCTATTGCGATGCCTGATTGGTGGTTTGCATCTTTGTAGACCATTTAGTTTCATCAAAACATGTTTCTGAGGTTACAAAGAGTGTGACAACCAGTGTCTTAGTTACTTCCTTTCAGTGTGACCAAACGCCATGACCAAGACAACTTACACCCGAAAGAGTTCATTTGTGCTGACGGTTTCCGAGGTTTAAGAGTCTGTCATGGCAGGGAAGTGTGGCATCGGGCGGCAGGCATGGCGGCTGGAGCAGGAGATGGAGGAGGCCCTCATCTTAAACCTCAGGCAGGAAGCAGAAAAAAGCAAACTCAAGTGGCGAAAGGCTTTAAGCTCTCAAAACCCGCCTCCAGTGACATACTGCCTCCAGCAAGGCCACACCCTAAGCCTCCCCAAACAGCCACCAACTGGGGACCAAGTATTCTAATACTAGAGACTACGGAAGACACTTACTAGTAAGACCTCCATACCCACTGACTTCGAGATTGCCCTGTCTGTCATTTTTGGATTATTGAAGCACTTATGTCTTCATCACCCATGCCTGTCTTTACTATTGACTTTGCCTCGTTACACACCACTTGACCAATAACTCTGAAGAGGACAATGGTGAGATATATATACTTGTATCAGAACCAATGATTTGGGTTCTCTTTAAACAGTAAAATATAGTATGCTTGTCTTATCACTGATGCATTGCTCACCTAAGGACAGAACCCACAAAAGAAACTGTTTTTGATCCTTGTCTGGTTAATTAACGCCATAATTCCTTTTTCAGTTATTACCGATTTTTTTTTTCTCCTTTTCCATCTTTACAGTCCAGGCATCCTGCAAATGCTCAGTTACATCAGTAGTAGAAAATTTAAGAACCCTTGGACAGCACATTTAACCTAGAGTCTTGGAAATCTTTCTAATCTCTGCACTGAAAGTTAAAATTACCCATAAATTTTGACACCATAATATTTAGCTATCCTTGTTGAATAACTTTATAAGGAATTGGAAAACACAAAACTAAAAAAAAAAAACTTAAAATTAGGAAAATTAGGAAAAAAGAAAATGGACAAAGGTACCTTGTTGATCCATCTCCATAGTCAGTGTGGGAACGGTGAGGGACAGATCTCACCTGTGGCTTTCAATTGAATACTTGTGTTCCCATGTCAGAATTTGCTTAAGCGAATTGTTCATGTCTTTAAAATGTATTTTTTCTGACTTTATCTTCTTTAGCATTGTTACTTAATTGTATACGCTTCAAACTTTCTTGACTAAGAAATGTGCCATAATTAATATTAGTATGCGTCCTTTTCACGTAATGATATAAACATGTTTCTAAATTTTATTTCTTTTTTTTTTCTTTTTTTCTTTAATTTCCCTCCTGACAGTGCTGCTATATCAATGCAGAACTTGTGCACACTAGGCAGATGCTCTCCCATGGAGCCACATCCTCTTTCCCCCTTGATTTTTCCTTTGTTCCTCTGTGTTACCACTTTCTCTAAGTCGGCTGGCTGTTTGCAAACTTGCATCCATGAAAAGATTTTCTAGCCTGAAAAGTTTGACTTTTTACTCATGCGCTCTAAGGGGGAAGCTGTGAAGACAGTGTCCCACTATCACAGGAGTGGGGAGAAAAGGAAACAGCCTTGAAAACTGGGGGCTCCTCTATCCCAAGCATTTCATAGTTTGTTGCAAACGTGCAATGGTTGTAATTTTAATCACTGGAGGCTTTTCTTTCAGCGGTACGTTGCAGACAGTCCTATTGGGGTTTTCCACCCGCTTCTGTTATCACTGCTGCTGCTACCACCTCCTAACGACTACAAGTTGGTTTCATTTTATTTAACAATCAAAACTGCACAATGAGAATGATGCATTAGTAAGAAAACGAAGTGGGGAAATGTCCTGAAGTTTGGTACATTTCTTTTGCTTAAGCAGTCTCAGTAATGAATATTTTTTCTAAATTTTTCTTAGTACCCAGTGTTCATGGAAAAAACAAGCCATTGATCACTTATGTGGGGGATTCTACTGTCCTGAAGTGTGAATGTCAAGATGGTCTTCCTTTAAACTGGACTTGGTACATGAGTAATGGAAGTGTACAGGTAAGATCATATTTGCTGGAGCTAGGAAGACAGTCCAGTTGGTCAAAGTGCTTGCCCTTTAAGTAGGAGGGACCAGAGTGTGGATCCCCTGTGCCAATGTAAGAAACAGGGCATGCCATTCAAGAGATGGAGACAGGACCATCCCATAGGCTTCCTGAGCCAGACAGGCTAGTCTTGACAGGTGAACTCCAGATTTAGATTCTGTCTCAAAAACAAAGCAGAGAATAATTGAGGAAGGCCACTTGATGTATCTCCAGCCTCCACATACATCACACATAAATGTGCTCAAACACCCACACAGACATGTATACACATGTGTATACACAAAAGATATTTTCTCTCTGATTTGAAGAAAACAAAACAAAAAAACCTTTTCATTCTTAAATAAGATTATAGCTGACTCAAAATTAATTCTCAGGGAAACTAACACTTCTGTTATAACTTATAATTACCAAGAAACCACAGTGATAAATGGTGTTGTTATTGGATGTTCTCAGCATATTACATTATATGTGTGAAGAAGCTCTCAGTATTTTTTTGGATCGTACTTTTTTCTTTTTAGGTTTTGCAGTTTATTTAAATTTGCAAATTAAATTAAATTATTGCAATTTAATTAAAATCTTTGAAAGAAAACCAAAATTCATTTTCAGGATGGGCTCGGTGGTGTGTGCCTGTAATCCCAGTAACAAGAAAACTGAGACAGGAGGACTGACATGTGTTTGAGGCAAACCTGGACCAAAGAGATGGTTCCAGGTAAAGCCAGGCTAACCAAGGCTGCATGGCAAGGCTCTGCTACAAAACAAAATTAAAAACAAAAACAGAGAATTTTTGCCTGGTTTAATGGCATATGTTTGTAATCCCAGACCTGTGGGAAGCTGAAGCAGGGGGATCGTTGTGTTTTCCAGGCCATGTATAGAGGTTTTGGCGTTATCCCAGACTACATAATGAGGCAAAACCAAAGCATTTTTAATTGACCAGGTTAGAAATAATTTCATCAGAAAATCCTCACTCACTTCTGCTTCTTGCCAGTAACTAAGAAAACAAAGAACAAAATCCCACGCTCCTTTTCTAGTTTGTCTCCTGAAGTATCTGACGTGGGATGCAATGTACTGGCACTATTTGAAAAAGATGAATGGAAATTCGGTCACTTAAACTTAGCTCTTAGTTTTTGTGGGGTGTCATTAGCACTTTGGGGTTTTTCACACATTGGAAAGAAGTGGATGTCAAGGCTTATATATCTAAGACAATTGGCTGATATGAAGATATGATATGAAGAAAACAAGAGTATTCAATGAATAAATTATCACTGGCTTCCTGTCCTTTCCCGGGTAGCTCCAAAGAGCTTAAAACTTGGGGCATGGTGCTGTGGGGTACCCTTTTCTTGCCTCAATGCTAATGAGTTTTCATATTAAAGTCCTATTGAAGAAAAGCTGTCATTCTAGATGGGACACATGAAACAGAACAAATCTTTCAATGACGTTTTAAAGAAACAAAGTTGGTGTTGCAGTGAGCTGTTGAGGAGGACGGAAGAAGGGCCTGGGAAGGAGCATGTCTACTTCTGTGATAACATTGCTTTAATGTTTCAAGAAAATAGCTCTAGATCATGCAGGGGTCAGCTTGAACAATGGGTCCTCTGCCTTTTGTCTTATAGATGATTAGGACAGTTGTCTACACATGTTGTTGAAATATAAATTGTAAAAACAAATAACAGTTGTGATGTGTGGAATATATAGCCTAATTTAAAGTTGTTTTCTGGGTTTGCTGTATGAATCATTATTCTCTTCATTTGGCTTTGATCCTGATCATAATCAGCTGTGAGACAGGGACAGAGAAGGGGTCACAGGTCAACATTTTAGGTCAAGTACCATTTCAAAATGTTAAGTCATCATCTGTATCACAATTAGCTCTGTGCTTTCTTAAAATTCAGTCCTTTGATTTATTGTATCTGATTCATATGCTGGTTTGTGTCATGAATATTCTAGGCCATTCTATGCCTGTGTACATAGAGATAGGTCAAGGTCATTCTTTTTTTCCCCTTTTGGCAAATACGTTTACAGAGAATTCTTCCTGGAATAACCTGAGAACATTTGTATGCAGATTTGCATTTATTGAGCATCTCAGTTGAGTGATAGGGCAGTGAAGGTATCCAATGTCCTGAGGATAAAATTTAATTTAGATTAAGTATGACAGCTTCGAAATATGACTTTGCGAGCCTCAAGAAAACCCAGCAGCTCCCAGAAGCCAGTCTACCTGGGAGAGAAAGGAAGAAACAGGGGTCTAGGATGAGAGAGCTGGTCATTGGAGGTCATCCGCTAAGAAGCCTTGACGATTTCAACTACAGTTGCAGTGTAGGGAACTCAGTTGTCAGATTAGTGATCTATCGTCAGGAGTGACCAGAATGATCTCTTTAGATGTGTATTGTTTCCTTTTGTACCTACCTGTCTCCACTTGTAGAGAGCAAGTCATATATGAGAAAGGAAAACCAGGGGCTGGAGAGATAGCTTCATGGTTAAGAGCACTGGCTGTTCTTCCAGAGGACCTGGGTTCAATTCCCAGCACCCACATGGCAGCTCAGAACTGTCTATAATTCCAGTTCCAGGGGATACGACACCCATAGCAAAACACCAATGTACTTGTGTACATTTAAAATAAATTAAGGAGAAAGGAAAACTAGGTGACTGGAAATCTTCTGCCTTGGGTTCTCACCTACTATTTACTAGTGATGACCTAGACATATATTTGTGGGTTCAGACATTCAGGGCTAAGTCCTCATAACTAAGTAGACTTTTTCCCTTGCTTGCTGCTGGAATACCAACCTCCTGCAATGACTCATACATTTTAATATGCCCCTTTCCAGTAAGTGGTTTCCTTGGCTCCGTCTTCTAGCTTTGCCCAGAATTAGCTCTCCTGGGACATGTATCTCTTTTTTGCATTATGTAAGGATTTTAATGTCTCCATGCATTAGGTTCCTATTGATGTTTACAAGAATGATAAGTATGTTATAAATGGATCCTATGCTAATGAAACACGACTCAAGGTAAAGCATCTCTTGGAGGAAGATGGAGGCTCCTACTGGTGCCGGGCAGTCTTCCAGTTAGGTGAGAGTGAAGAACACATTGAGCTGGTGGTACTCAGCTTCATGGTGCCCCTCAAGCCGTTTCTCGCCATCATTGCGGAAGTTATTCTCTTAGTGGCTATCATTCTGCTTTGTGAAGTGTACACACAGAAAAAAAAGAATGACCCAGGTAAGTTTTTTTACTTTTTTTATTACCTTATCGCTTAGTTATGATGTGTATTATGTATGGCTTAACACATAGTCACTTACAAGTTGTGGGGAAGGGCTGAGGAGATGGCTCACTGTGTAAAAAGCGTTTACATGGGCTGCAGAACCTGAATTCACATCTCCAGAGCCCATGTAAAAAGCCAGATGCATAACATTGGTATCTATAATCTTAGTGCTTCTGTGTTGAGGAGGGAGGTAAAGGCAGCAGACCCCTGGAAGCTTGTAAGCCCGCTAGCCTGGCTTACTCAGTGGAAAGCAGCAAGAAGATCCTATCAAGGAAGTCATCAAAGACTGACAAACACCTGAAGTCATGCTGTGACCTTCACACCTAGGTTATGGTGTGTGCACATGCATTTACACATATCAATGTGCACATACACAAATACACACACGACGTATACACACACACACACAAAATAAGTAAAAATGGTTTGTAAAGAACAATTCAATTTTTCATATTTGGGCCAATATTTATGATTGTAACCATAATGGTGATGGTCTATGAGCTTGGACTCTTAGTCTTTATTTCATCTGCCTGAAAGATGTTCATGTTAAAATTAAAATCTTTGGTTTCTTGGTGCCACTATGCACGAGCTGGGGAATGTGTGTTGACATTGGGATTTTAGGAAAAAGTTGGATTCCTTGAGATTTTTTTTCACTTAGATAATTCATTTTAATCATTTGTGTCGGGGGGGATTGCATGAATGTGTGGGTGCTCGTGTGTGCGTGTGGATTTGGAAGTCGGAGCATAAACTTGACTCAGGAATGCTGTCCACTCCTTTTTGACACATAGTCTGTCGTTGGCCTGGTGCTCACCAATTAGGCTAGAGTGGCAGCCGCTGCGCTCCGTGGATCCTCTTATTTCCCTCTCCCTGCCTGGCATTACAAGTGTACACCACCATGCCTGCCTTTTTATGTGGGTTCTGGGAACTGAGCTTCGGGCCTCATTCTTGCTGTAGCAAGCACTTCATGACTAAACTGTCTCCCCCTTCTCCATTGAAAAAGTATTTTATCAAGTATTCTAGATTCTCATAAAGTCAAGGTTGCATTAGCGTTGTTTTAAACCCATGTCTGTTGGGCTGTCGGATGAGAAACCCTTGATAGAAATCGTCACGTTGTCTTAGTTAGGGTTTCTGTTGCTGTGACAAAAACATCGAGACCAAAAAACAAGTTGGGGAGGAAAGGGTTTATTTGGCTTACACTTCCAGATCACAGTCCATCACTGGAAGAAGTCAGAACAGGAACTCAAGCAGAGCAGCATCCTGGAGGCAGGTGCTGATGCAGAGGCCTATGGAGGGGTGCTGCTTCCTGGCTTGCTTCCCCTGACTTGCTCAGCCCACCTTCTTATAGAAACCAGGACCAGCAGCTTAGAGATGGCACCACCCACCATGGACTGGGCCCTCCCCCACTGATCACTGAATGAGAAAAAGCCTTACAGCTGGATCTCATGGAGGCATTTTCTCAACTGAGGCTCCTTCCTCTCTGATGACTCTAGCTTGTGTCAAGTTGACACACAAAACCAGCCAGTACATATGTATTCTGTATTCTTTTCTGATTTTCATACTCTCTCTCTCTATATATATATATATAAAATATAAAATATATATATATATATATATATTTATATATTTACATTATGACATCATAGTTTTGAAAAAAATCCCAGGATGCCAAACAGTTCTGATGAGAAATTCAGGTAGAGTCTGGCATCCTGCTATGAGGAAGCAGAGGGAGGCAGAGCTATCAAAAGTGACACTTCTCTCCTTTCCGTGGGAAAAGTTGTTAGGGTGCAGGTTGAATGGAACATGTAAACATAGCATCACACGCTCAATTGTTATATCCTTTTTGTTTGTCTTTATACAGATGATGGGAAAGAATTTGAACAAATTGAACAGCTGTAAGTATTTTTTATTGATTTTTTTTCACTTGGGTAAAATGCACATAAATATGAAATTAAGTGAAATGTTGGCAGTTAGAAACAAGAAAAACCACAAGAACATGGTGATGTGCATGCTGTTTCTGTATTCATCTGTGTGATGATGAGGTTTGGTACCCAGTGTCTACCCCTCCATCAATAACTGTTCTGTGCTTCTGGTTTTATTGCTGAAAAATGGGTTCATCATGGTGTTCCTACACACATTTTTTTGAATTAGTAATAATTTATTTGTGTGAATGCTTGGGATAGACTTTGTTGCACAGTAAACAGATGTATTAATTTATTTAAATGATTCTTTACCTTGGTTGTATTTTTGAGCACTGTTGAAGCTTCTTAATAATACAATGTTCTTGAGGCTAGAGAGATGGCTTAGTGGTTAAGAGCATTTGATGCTCTTCTAGAAGACATGGGTTCAATTTCTGGCAGCCACATGACAGCTCTCGACAGTCTATAACAGCAATTCCAGGGAATCTGATGTGCTGTCTGCCTTCCAGAGGCATATGCACACACATGCTACACACACACACACACACACACACACACACACACACACACACACACACGCAAGTAAAACATCCAGATAAAGAAAATGGAAAAAGAAAAAAAAGAGTACAATGTGCAGGCCTCACTAGATCAGAACAATCAGAACCACTTAGGTGGGGACTGGGCGTTTGGATTTTTTAAAAACAACTTCCGGTGGTACTGTTCTTTCACAGTGAAGATCATTGGCCTAGGATTCTATGAGAATTACTTTTGAGAGAACTCATGTTTTGTTCTCTTTAGAACATGAGGGTAACTGGGAATAAAATGGCCAGGATGGTGGCCATTTTATTTGGTTTGGGGATGGTAGGATACTTCTTCCAACCCAGAGAATAAAGGCTCCCAAGACAGGGACTAAATCTGAGAAACAACCAGTGTCTGTGAACCAAAAGAGACCAGACTAAGACCGCTGAGAGGTGCTCATGGAAGGGGAGCCCCCACCCCCAACCATTACCAATATAAGATGGTGCTGGAAGTTGTCTTCTCTCAGCCCAAGGGGCCGTGAGCTGCGAGTCTGTAAGAACAAGAGGGAGACAGAGTTCTTCACATGCTCGTAGCGGTAATCAAAGACCCAGTTCATATATAGTGGGTAAAATGAACCAAGATAATGTGCTTCCAAGTTAAGGACACCAAATTATAAGTGAAACTTTAAACCTCCCTGATTCCCATTTCCTGGACCTCTTATTTTTTTTAAAGTCATAAAAAGTGTGGCAGGAGTTCATGTATGTAAAGAGTTAAACTGCCCCTCTTATGTATCTTCTTTCCACTCACCCCCATCATGTCCACTGTCTCCGACCACTGTCTCCTGGGCAGTCACTAGGGGCTGGGGCCACATCCTAATTTGCAATGCAGAACAGACTATCAAGTCCATGTAGTTTAATGCTTATTACCACAGCTTACCCCCACTCAATGCCCCCCTCAGATATCTTAAAAACAATGCCAACATGATTCAATCTATAATATAACAAATTATTCATTCTATTTAATATTAGAATAACACACATGTTCTCCATCCTTTATTCCAATGCAGCCATCACAATGAATGTCTTACTTTTAGGTATAAATTAACAAGGGTGTTTTAAGCTCATTTTAGATCAACCCTTGCTATAGTTCATTATAGATATTCTCGTTAATTTAGTTAGGAACTAATTTTTTTTTCACAGATAACAGTTTCATATGTTACATGTCTGATATACTTTACATATATTTATGTGTGTTGGTATCCCTGGTCTTTTGTAATTTCTTGGTAAAAATGATTTTAAAAAATTAAAATAAATATATAACATCAAAAGCAGTGACTTCTCTCAAGGAACTCAATGAGAAGTCAACTCATTTATTTGATTATTGTCCCCACCATCCAAGACTAGGGCAGTCCAGTTTTGACATGCATGGTTGGGTGGCTGATTTTTACTTGTTGATAATAACAGCCTTATGAGTACAGGCCTGGCCACAACATCTCCACTGCTCTTCACTGTGCTCAATGGTTTTCTTATGTAGTCATGCTTAAGGCCATACTTAATAGTCTTCCCCTGATACAAAGGGCCATATGTAGCTTATAATTTAGTGTAATAAGCATTGGATTATGACTTCTCATACACTTTGGCTAAGCTTCTGGTTGACTGTTATCTTGTTTCAGAACAATGTGAGAGTTAATGGTTACATGCATACTCTACTCTTGCCAGGGAAGAATCAGTTCTCCCTCTGCTTAGATCGAGCAAGTCTTGTGTTACCATACCTGTGGCAGGAGGTTCTTCCTTAGCAATCACATAAGAAAAGTCAACATTACAATTAGAACACTGTTAGGAAGAGTGAATTCAGTGGGCACTGACATTGCAGCGTTTACATCCAGCTATGATGTCAATACTACAATGACTTAATTTTATGCATTGTGAATGTCTGGTGACTTTCCTTCTTATTTTTGACACAGGAAATCGGATGATAGCAATGGTATAGAAAACAATGCCCCCAGGCTCAGAAAAAATGTAAGTTACTTCTCAATCATATGAAAAGGTAGAATTCAATATACTGGGCTATTAAACCTTACTCTGGCTTCCAGATTCCTAAAAGACCCAGTTCACTGTGTGCTTGAATACACTTGTTTACACAGTAACAGGAGAAAATATGGACTTATACAAAAATTAATGGTATCATTTTTTTACCAGAGAATAGGTGGTAATTCTCCTGTCTCAGCCTCCTGAGTGCTGGAGTGGGCTAGGATTATGGGATTTCAGGATGGTACCACCATACCCAGCTTTATTTCATGGTCTTTATATATATGTAAATATATAAATAATTACCTTGGGTTGGTTTCTTTTAAAGCTTTCATGTAATTTTTAAATTCTCAACTCAAATTTTCTGTATTCTTTGATTTTATTCTCATATACCCCCATATGGTCGATGTGATGATTTCGTCTGTCACGGCTAATTTCCACAATTGATTCATAATTGTCTTAGTTCATCCATGTTAGGACTTGCTGCTTTGCCAGTAGATGGCAAGCTCACTTTCCAGCACTCTTTTGCTGTGTTGAAATGATAGTTAAGTTATCATAGACAGCATGGCAGTAACTGCTTCATTCTGTTTTGTTTAATTCAGGAGTCTGTGGAACAGTGAATAAAACAGAACGTTTCGCCTTGAGAGAAGATGTGCAGAGAGTTTGTATTTCTGCTTCCTTTCAAGACTGTGTGAATTCTAGATTTCTAAAAGACAAAAAATTTCCTGCACACACACAACACATGGTTGCTTTTTAACCCATATAGGCCCTCTCCTACCTAAAGATGTATTTTCATTTTGTAATTGCTTTTCATTAAAGCGAGGTAAATTGTTTCAGATGTGTTCTGTGAGCTGTAACCTAGATAATAAATTTTATCCAGGTCCAGGAGATAAGGGACACAGAACAGACATCAGCAAAATCAGTTAATAATCCACAAATAAATATCACTAAAGACCTCTTTATTACCAAAGAATTTATGAAAGAGAAAGCTTTTTACCAGTTGTCTTAAAAGTGTTCCCCCAATCATTCATAACTACCTATAGAAGTATTGATAACAGTTTTCATGTGAAGTGTATCCTTCTGTGGTATTGAAAGTGTTTTCTCTAGGAAATAGAAACTATACTTTCCATAATGGTGGCTACTCTGCAGTCTCCACGCTAAGATATACTTTTGCTCCATAAGTAATGGTGTAAAATGAGGGAGTATACATCATATGCTTCCCCACAGTCAGTATCAACACCGGAGCTTCACATCTCATCACACTCATTACCGCCTTTTTATACTTAACGCCTAAATGCTTCTTGGTTTTAAGTAGGACATTTTCCTTGTTCTTTGCCGTCGGGTTTGGACCTCATCAGCCCCGCTGGTGTTCATGTTTCAGAGTGCAGTTCTATGTGGTCACTGTATGACACCCACTACCCATGCCTTTGTGGCTCATGGCTTCTGGGTACCTTTATTTGCTATCTGGTTTCTAGTATCATAGCTGGCTAAAGATAAAAGTAGTGCCTTGGGTAGTAGATTAGGTGTCCCTGGTTGCTGCAGGGGTTTTTGTGACACACTGCTTCCAGAAAACAGGATTAAGAACAATGAGAAACAAAGAGCGGCCGACTTGGGATGGCAGTAAAAGAAATCTATGGTTCTTGGGGATTGAGGGATTAGAGGTTGGGTAGAAAGAATCCACTGATTTAACAATGGAAACTAGAAGCGTATGCCTTGTGCACTAGCTAAGGAAGGACAAGATTCTGATAGGGAAAATTCTGTTTGACTCATGTTTACCACTATTACTGGCTAGAATAATACATAAAAAGCCATGGCAGCTGCTTTCTGTTCTGTTGATGCAACAAAACTCAGTATTGTCTAATAATACATGTTAAATCCACATGTAGATTACATTGAACTAGAGCGCACCTCTTGGTAGTAGATGTCCTATTTTTTTCCTTAGCCTCATTTAGCCACACATTTGTTTTGCTTCTAATTCGTGCTTAATTTGACAGGATCATCTTGATGAGCTCATGGCAGCCAGTATAATTAGTCTAAACATTTTGAATTCAGAGAGCAAGTCCCACTCAAAACAGTGTGACTGTGATTGGCTACATACAAAAGCCCAACGAGTAACTTTGCTTGCAGGATTCATCCATTTGCTTTGCTGCCACTGGCTATTTATGTTGAAATAGTTTTCAAGGAAAAAAAAATGCTACCCAAAGGTAAAATAATCTGAAATACTTATATAATGCATTGAAATGTTGATGGGCAATGTGTGCTATTTATTTTTCTAACGAAGATAGGTTATCTCAGTAATTTTAAGTAGAAAAGATTCTCAAATATTTAAGCTGATTTTTGGCCTTTCAGGGTCTCTCTGGAGTACTTTTGGAAAATTATTCTATGCCTAGTAGATTAAAATGGAACGCTTCTATTAACTAGCCTCATGGAGATGATGAATGGATTGTCTAAGGACCAATTGTAAATTAGCTGCAAAAAACAAAAAAACAAAGGCTGAAGCAGTAAAACTACACTGACTTTATACAGTAGACACCTGGGAAATTCTATTAATCTTTCCAGTCGATGAGTATTCAACATAATAATTAGATTTAATGATGCCATAACATTTCCAGATAATCTTAAATTCAGTTTACATTAAAATGTAAGTTTCCTTTAGTCTTTTTTTTTTTTTTTTAACCCCCCTAGCTAGCTAGTCCTTCATTCTCAAACCTTAAACTGTTTGTGATCTTTTCTTCTTTACTTTATTGGCTAGGAATCCAATCCCTCCCCGTTCCTTCGACTTTCTCCATCTGTCATCAATCCTCTTGGTACCTCTCCCATGCGAGATCATGGTTTAGGTTTCTCTACCTTGGCCTCCTAATCCATCTCCCCACTTTTCATGGTGCTTCTCAGCCTTTCCTCTTAAACACAAAGATCTCAAAACCTCATGCAGTCCCTCCTCACCGTTTCTTAGTACAGCACGTCACCTAGTCAGTAATCTCCTCCAGTGTCTTGGATTAGCCCAGAATGTGTCTTTGATGCTGCCCCTGTCCCACTAACCCAAGATTAGCCTTCAGTATGTTAAGGTGCAGGGGAAACTCTCATATCAATGGGGTAGGGACCATCTCTTGTGCTGACAACTCCATGTTTCTTTGTGGTTGGTCTTCTTTCCGGATCCTGACCTTTAGTTCTGTACCCTGTATTTAGTACAGGGAGAACGTTATAGGTGGTGTAAAATGTGTATACCTATTTTTAGAGAAAAACTAATATTAATTATGACAATTAGAATTGCAAAAGAAAATTTTATAGGAAAACAGCTTTATAAATCCTTCAACTGTTGTACAGGGTACATTTACCCCTGTTCTGATGGGTTTTAATTCCTATCGCCCTTAAAATCCCATGGTTAGTATGCACAAAAAACTAAGTTTTACCTTTTATTTAATAAGGTACACATTGGCTCTAAACATGCAGGATTTTGGTGGTTATAGTCCCTCGTATGACACCGTTGAGAGAGCTGGCACTTAGACTCACTCCACTAACATATCCATTCTACTTCCCCACATTATACATCTTTGAACATCTCAGGAGTCACTCCAGAATTTAATATCACAGCAGCATGTTACAAGAAGATTTATTATTACATGTTGAACATCGAAAGCGTACTTTTCATTGAATCAACCTGCTTATAGTATGCGGTGAGAAAAATATTTACAGAACAGGTGAAAGCAGAAGACAGACTGGATTACTTTGGAATTTTAAGTTCCAAATGCTTATGTACTTTCTACTCTAACAACAGTTTATCACCCTTGAGTTTATCCTAGTCTGTCATAGAGAGAAAGACAGCTTAACTGTGTGTCCCATCTCTATTTGCTCTCAATCTAGACAGTGACATGTTCTGTTTACCAGTCAAATTCCCCATTAAAGATGCATCTTAATTGTTTAATACTAGCAACTGACATTTGACACATGCTAGGCACTCACTTTCACACATGCTTTGAAGTGTTCTGTCTAATCTGTCTCAGTCCATCTCATGTCATAAAAAGAGTCCTTTGTTTTTGTTTTTGTTTCTAATCAATGCAGAAACTCAAGCTCAGAGACCTTAAGAAAACCACACAAACCCCCTGAAGTACATGATCAGAACTGAAATCCAGATTTAGGCTAGGCTGACTTGACCTACTTTGTTCAACAGCTCTGAATGGCTAGTTGTATACATCCTAGAAAACGAGCCTGTTATCTTATTGTTAATTTCACTCTTTTAGGTGGTCACTCATAGCACAAGAGCCATAATCTTTCTGTCGTTGGGGCCCATGCTTTGTGGTTCCTGTGTACGCACGCTGGTGCTGGGGGTCAACACATATTTAAGACTTTTCTTTTTTCTGGTTGTATTTGTCAGTAGTGAACATGACCCTAAAATTTATCACCCAGGCACTGAACATGAAAAAGATGCTATGTATAACTTCACGGAGACACGTGGAAAGCAGGCCCTCCTCTGGTCTCACATGTAGCCCGTGGGGAGGAAGTGGTTGCTCTGTGGGTGTCCTGTCTGTCACAGATGTTAGCCGCAAGCTGAAATGATTGACAGAAATTAACTTTCAAGAAAATAGCCAATTTTAGCTAATGCAGGGAAATCGCCATTTTCAGTAAATGTCAGGTGAGTGCCACTGCAGAGAAGTGCCTATAATCGCATCATTTACTCAGCTTAAAGTTTTATTACTTTGAGTAGCTTAGTGTGACTGGTCTGTTGGCATTCAGAAGTTGGACTCACGGGTTGTAAGAGAAGTTGGCGAAGAACATCTTGCTTTTGTTGCTGTGTGGATGAACTGGCCAGCTTCTTGGATTTGGACACCTCCTGGTTCATGTGCTGTAGTAGTTCATGTTTATGTGAATCCAGTGAGTCAAGAATGGAAGAGTCTCCCCTTATTACCAATTCGCCTGTGAAATGATTGAAAATCACACATGATTGGAATGGACAGAAGCACTTTTAGTCCCACGAATGGCTTATAGGCTGCATTTCTTATTCCTTTGCACATCAGTGGGAACATGTTAGGGAAACCTGTTTAGGGTATTGGTTAAAAATACTGTTTTTGTCTATTGTGTTTTATGTTTTACAGCATTTTTTTAAATTATGTGGTTCTCATTTCAGAAAACTATTACAAATTATTTTTCTAAAGTTTATTGGATAATCATGAAAATAATAGATTTATTACATATATAATTTGCTGTAATGCTACTTAATGTTGCAAAAAGAATAGCTACTTATATTTTATACCTTTTAAAATAGATATTTGACCATGAATGTGTAGTTTTGCTTAAATCAAGGACCATTGATTATATTTTTTTAATAGTTGTGTTTCTTTTACATGTGTGTTTAGATTCTCATTACCGACTTTCTGTATTGTGTAACACCAAAAATGTCAATACAGGAACATTGTAAAAATTTCTGTGTTGCATATACATTTAATATACAATTAAGCTCAATAAAATGTACTCTGTGGATTAAAACTAAGTATCGTGGCATGTATTTTCAAATTTTTTAATTAAAAAAAGATTAATTCATTTTATGTGTTTTGTGTCGGTGGGTGGGTGTGCCTGTAGAGGCCAGAAGGAGGACCAGGGAACTCTGGGACCTGTAGTAATTGCAGGCAGTTGTGAGCTATAACACGAATTGTTAAATGGTCTTAATATAATACCCAGAGCCAGATATTGGGGTGAAAGCTGAAAGATCAGAGGAATAGAACAATCCTGCCACAAGTTCTTACCACTAGGAAATCCTCAGCCCAAGAGAGAGCCACTTCCTGTATACTCATGCCTTAAATACCTTTCTGTGCCCTGCCATCTTACTTCCTCTCTCCACCCAGCTACATTACTTCTTTTTTCTGCCCAGCTCTATCACTTCCTGCCTGTCTGTACAGACCTCCAGACCTCTATGGTTAACTAGTGCTGAGATTAAAGACATATGCCACTATGCCTGGCTCTGTTCCCAGTGTGGCCTTGAACTCACAGAGATCTGGATGAATCTCTGCCTCCCAAAGGCTAGGATTAAAGGTGTGTGCCACCACTGCCTGACCTCTATGTTTAATACAGTAGCTGGCTTTTTCCTTTGATCCCCAGGCAAGCTTTGTTAGAGCACAAATAAAATACCACCACAGTGTGCTGAAAACCGAATGCTAGTTCTCTGCAAGAGCAGTGAACCATCCTAGCCACTAAGGTACCACGCCAGCCCAATTGTTTTCATTGTTCATGATTTAAAGGTAGTTCTATAGGCACTAGCCAGTGGAAAACACTGATTATTTTCCTGTGTGTACCAAAGATTTGTTTTATTAAACAACTCGTCATTCTCAAGCCCAACACACACACACACACAAAAGGCTTAATTGAGTCTGTGTTTTAACACATTAAATTGAAAGTCAACCAGAAAGCAATTTTCAAAACACTAAAATATGTTTTGAAAGTTTCAATGACAACTATGACCATGACTTTAAAAAACAAACATTTAAAATGAAATCGGGGATTAGATTAAATTTGCTTGTCTTCCTGGGTAATTTCCTTTCAGCTTTTTATTATCATTTTAGGTTGATTCAGCAAAAATTGTTTCAAAAGGCTCCAGGTTTTTATTTTAAACTAAAATTTGGAAAACCCTTATTCTATGGAAATATCTGATGTTATAAAAGAGTCAGTATCTCAAATAGGGCAAATTAATGAATCTAATAATCATAGAAAAGATTAACTGTTAAGCAACACACTGGATTAGTTTACTAACTAACTACAAATGCATGATTAATAGCTAACAAGTAAGTGTTTATCATCCCTAACATGTGAGGCCAATTTACAGGAAGTGAGCAATTTTATGATTAATTTATAATGGCTGGTGGTCAACTTGTAGACATCCAGAACAGACATTTTTGTTTTGTTTTTTGAGACATAGTATCTCTGTGTAATCCTGGCTGTCCTGGAACTTGCTTTGTAGACCAAGCTGACCTTGAACTCACTGAGAGCCTCCAGCCTCTTACTCCCAAGTGCTGGGATTAAAGGCGTGCGCCACCACTGCCCGGCCAGAAAAGACATTTTTACTTATTTTATTTATTACTTTTTTATTTTACTTATTTTATTATTATTTTACTATTATATTTTACTTATTATTATATATTTACTTATATCTTACTTATCTCCTGGTAATTGTAGCTGATAATGTTAGGCATTATAAAACATAAATAATTCTCACTTTAATCAAACACTACTACAATAATAACTTCTCAAACTGGTTGTTGTAGCATGTGACTGTAATCCAGCTGTCAGGAGGTTAAAGTAGAAGACAGTGAGTTTGAAGCCAGTCTTGACTACCGATGAGACCCTCTTCCCCAAAACACAATTAAGGCAAACTTAAGCAAACTGAACAGATTTGGCCAATGGTATTTACTTACATGTTCACAAAAATGAGACTTCAAACAGAGTATGTACAGTGAAATAGACAGCAAGATACATGGTAATCAAAATCATGGAAACAACATAATTTCTCAAAAGGGTTTATTTTTAATTTACGTCTGTGCTGCATGTACACATGCATTCATGTTCCCACAGATGCCAGAAGAGAACATTGAATCCCCTGAAGCCAGAGTTGTGAGTGTGAACTGTCCCAGGCACGTGAACTCTGGTTTTGGGGAAAAGCAGCAGGCACTTTCTCTAGTATCTATTGGGAAAGGGCAAACTGGTTAACAGTGGATTTGTGTTAAGAGGCCATGGCACTGGGAACGGAACTGTCACAATGTTGCAATCTGTTTCATTCTGTCAATCCAGACGTCTGCATGTCCGGAAAGGATCCTTCAGCAGTGCTGGGGGCAAGTCGGACATTCTAAGTGGAGGACCACAGGGATTGAAGCTCAGTGGTAGAGCACTTGGTATCTATGTGAAATCCCTGGACTCGGTCCCCAGCTCCACAGGAAAAACAACAGATATTCAACAAGGGACAACTAAGCTCTTTCAACGCTAGTTGGCCAACCCGGAAAGGATGTTGAAAGAAAGTTCTCTTTGGAGAAAGGGAATGATGAGGAATTCTGGAACACCAGGAGAGAAGGGGAACAGTAGACAGGAACAGCGGCCACAGACAAACCGGGAAAGCACAGGTTGCAGACCTGCGCTGCTAGTCAATGTAATACAAATGTAAAGGAGACACTCGGTGTTCTTCCCAGTGGGCTAGAAAGGACATCTGAGAAGGCGTAGTTCCCATATTCACTTCAGCTGGTAAAATGTCAGTAGTAGATTTAAACCAGGTAATGAATTTGATATTTTCATTTGTACTTCTGTGAATACTTTAATACATTTAAAATATTACATTTGTACTTCTGTGAATACTTTAATACATTTTTTTCAATTTCTAAAAAAAGAGAGAGAGAGAGAGAGAAACACGCTGCCAGCTGCCACCATGAGAAGATGTTAAGATATTGGTAAGCCATGAGCCACGTGGCAACTTATAGATTAGTAGAAATGGGTTGATTTAAGATATAAGAACAGTTAGCAAGAAGCCTGCCATGGCCATACAGTTTATAAGTAATATAAGTCTTTATGTGTTTACTTGGTTAGGTTTGAGCAGGTACGGGACTGGTGGGTAAGAGATTTGTCCTGGCCCTGGGCCAGGCAGGACTGGGGAAAATCTCTAGCTACAAACATGTAATGACTTACATAACCCGTAGAGCACCTACTAAAGAAGCTGTTTAAGACCCATGGCAAATTCTTTTTTTGGTATTATTTTTTGAGACAGGGTTTCTCTGTGTAGCTTTATGCCTTTCCTGGAGCTCACTCTGTAGCCCAGGCTGGCCTGGAACTCACAAAGATCTGCCTGCCTCTGCCTCCCGAGTGCTGGGGTTAAAGGTGTGCGCCCCCAATTCTTACAGATACAATGAAACTATTAGTGCCTGGAATGGGATGGGGGGAGATAAGGGAGGGTGTGTGGGAGACAGTAAGCAAGATGCATAATGTCTATGTATGAAATTGCCAAGCAACAAAATAAAATCATTCTAGATGTTCCAGCTACCACCCCCCCCACAATGCAGGAAAAAAAACAAACAAACAGCAAGAAGACCCAGCAGATAAGAAAACCTTGCAGGCTCAGGCCTTAATATCAATAATACTGTAAATCTCAGTAGACTTTCATATCAGCAACACAGACATTTGCAGAACGTAGATACTGAAGAAGGCAACCATCTGCTTATGAAAAGCTGAAAGCCAAGGCTTGGAAATGCATGCTGTGTAAAAACCCTAACTGATAGGAAGCAGGAGAGGCTGTATTGATATTAGGTCTACTGGATGTCCGGTGAAGAAAACTGCCAGAGACAGAAAGGGTCATTAGGCAATAATAAAAAGAATTGACACACCGAGAAAATACAGGCAAAGCACACCAGGAGATGACCATCGGTCACTGGTAGGACTGAAAGGCAAGTCTACAATTTCAGTCAAAAACCTCAACACCCATCTTAATAATGGTCAGAACGAGTAGAACAGCAGCAGTTAGCTGGCTGGAGTGACTCAGTCTGAAATCCTAGCCACCCAGGATGCTGAGACAGGAGGATTCCTGTAAATCTGAAGTTATCCTAAACCTCTGAGCAAGACTATCTCAAAACAACAGTAACAACAAAAGAAACAAGTGGGAAATAATATGAACCCCTCACATATCAATGTACACACACACACACACACACACACACACACACACACACACACAAAGCTGTTAGCTAAAGAGAAACTTCAAAGGGAAATTTTTTAAAAATGTATTTGGCAGAAAAGGAAAATACATTAAAAAAAGTGTAGGATTCATCAAAGGCCACATCAAGATTGACATTTGTGGCCTTAGATTCTCATATTAGAAAAGAGAAAAAGTCTCAGATCCACCTTAGTGTAAGGAAGCTAGAAAAGAGTAATATAATCGAACACAGTTGGTTTTACTCTCCCAGCCAGTGACAGGCAAGGCCACTCTCATCGCTGGGCAGTCTCAGTCAGCAGAAGAAAGCGGATAATGAAGACAAAGGAAGAAATCAATGAAGCTGAAAGCACAGGCCATACAGAAAATCAATGACGTAAAAATCCATTTTAAAAATAAAGATGAATATAATTGGCGAACTACCAGTAAGACTGAAAAGGAAAAAAAAGAAATGTCTCAAAAATGAACAGGTAATACTGTTGTAAAGGACAATAAAGAAATAGTACAAATAACTCTTTATCCCTTTAAATTTTTTTAAAGATTATATCATGTCTCCTTTTTGCTCCCTGTAAACCATCTGATATACCCCTTCAAATCTATGGCCTCTTTTTTATTGCTTGTCACTATGTGTGTGTGTGTGTGTGTTTGGTATACATATGTATTTGTGAATCTAGCCATCTCAGTCTATATAATGTGTTGTGTGTTTAACTTCAGGGCTGACTGTTTGGTACTGGACCACCAGTTTTCTGAGGGAAGAGCACCTTTCCCACTCCCAGCTTTCCTCAGTTGTTTACAAAATGACTCTTATACATAGA